GTCGAGGCACGAACTCCCATGTGCCGCTTGGTGAGGAGACTTAATATTTCATGTGCAAGAATGAACCGAATGGAGTGACAACATACAAGGGTACATAGGGAAGACAATATATCCACCCTAGCTAACAGAGTGTACACATGCAAAACATGAGTGTACTTTGACACACCCCCTAGGCTAGGTATGGGGCAGTGCTAAGCACGTAAGGAAACATCTCAGAGTGGCTCAACTAGTCCAACCACTAAGGCAAGCGACCACAAGGCCAGTCAACAAGAGGCAACAAATAATTACATACAGTACGGGATATAGAGATCAAGAAAACAAAGTGAGGACCTGCTTGAACAAGGCCAAGCTATATGCAAAACCGATGATGATTACTAGGCCAAAGTGCCTTTGTGAATATACCGTCATACCCCAGATATACCCGCCCCTGGGGGTGTAATAAAACATGTTTTTTTTAGGGGGGTGGGCTTATAATTGAGGATTGTTATTAGCACCGGCCTTCGAAGTGTCGGTGCGCAGAAACAGCGACGGGTCAGCAGTCGAAGGAGCAAACCCAAGAGCCGCAAGTGTCGTCCTCATTGTGTAGCGCCACTCGCGGGGCGCCTGACGCAGGTCGTATACTGGTCGCCGTAGGCTCCACTGGGTACCCTCTGGAAACGACCCAGTGAAGCCCTCTGGACGGCGCAGCCAGATGGCCTCGTGAAGGCTACCCTGCAAGAAAGCTGTCGAGAAGTTGAGGGAGTGCAGCTCGTAGTCACGCTGAGCTGCAACGTGTAGCAACACCCAAAGAGTGGTCATCTTTGGGGTAGGGGAGAAGGTCTGGAAGAAGTCAACTCCCTGTCGCTGACTGAAGCCTCATGCCACGTAACGAGCCTTGAAGGCAGGCGGAGAACCCGGCGGCCGCTTCACCCTGAAAATCCACATGCCATCGACTATGTTCACCCCAGGAGGGGGAACTGCGTCGAGGTAAGAGCTTGTGGACTTCCAGGATGCCATCTCTGCGTCCATGGCTGTCAGCCACTGAGAGGAGTAGGGATCCGAAATCCCCTCTACGTAAGAGCGCGGGATCGGGATGTTTGGTGCATTCGGGTCTCTCTCAGGTGCAATCAGCATGGACACGAGATGAGGTACAGCAGCTGCAAAACTCTCAAAGTCCTCCTGCCTGTCCTCAAGGACGTCCATGCCAAGAGCACACTCACCCCAGACGGACGGAGGACAGACTGACTCAGACTCAGCAATAAGACTAGTGGCGCAGTCGAGACGACAGGCGGCAGCAAAGTCAACAAGCTCACCAACTAAGGCAGACGCAGCAGTGAACTCAAACGAAGGGTCAGTGACAACAGTGGCCAGAGGACGTATGACAGTAGTACTGGCAGCACGAACTAAGTCAGACTCAGGGTCTGGACCGTCAGGAAGAGAGGACGCAGGAGGAGACGGCAGAGGGAGCTCGCGGTGGAACAGAGGAAGGACGAAGTGTCATATTGTGAGTGCCAGGGACAGGAGGAGGACGCGGACGTGGAACACGACTACCAGTGCGACCAGTGCGAACAGGCGAGGCAGGACGAGACGCAGGCTTACGACGCTCTGTAAGACCTCCGGACTGCTCAGTGTAAGGACCAGGAGCACGCAGTGGGGAGGCTGGCTGTAACTGCGGCTACGACTGGTCAGGCGGTGGATAGTATAAGGGAGGAGTAAGGGCAGTAGAGGACGGGAGACCAAGAACCTGCTGAAGTAGTGGAACGAAACGGTCGCAGCCGCACAGTCCCTCCAGAACTAGCACCAACAGCACCTGCACCCCCAGGGCCAGCGCCTCCAGCTCCGGTGTCTCCAGCTCCAGCACCTGCAGCACCTCCTGCAGCTCCAGTGCCTCCACTGTGAGCACCTCCGCGACCAGCGGCTCCAGTACCTCCAGCAGCTCCAGCTCCAGCGCCTCCAGCCCCACCTCCTGCAGCACCTCTAGCCCCAGCAGCTCTAGTACCTCCAGTACGAGCACCTCCGGGACCAGTGACTACAGCACCTCCGCTACCTCCAGTGCCTCCAGGACCAACAGCTCCAGTACCTCCAGCTCTAGGGCCTCCAGCTCAAGGGCCTCCAGCGGCAGGCCCCCTTGCTCCAACAGCGCCGCTCTGAAGGCTCCAGCGCCGAGCAAACCACTCGCGCAGCTGTGGTGGAGAGAGAGGCTCCCGCCGTGACAAGGAACCCGAAGGAGCCCCAGTAGACAAAGTACCTCCAGGCTTAGGACGCTCAGGCTTAGCACCCCCAAGCTTAGCACCCCCAGGCTCCGCACGCTCAGGCTCAGCACCCTTAGACTCAGCAACCCCAGGCTCAGCACCCCCAGGCTCCGCACGCTCAGTCGCAGCACCCCCAGGCCCCGCACCATCCGGCTCAGCACCCCTAGACGCAGCACCCCTAGCAGCACCCGCCCCCAGCAGCACCAGAGTCGACAGCTACCTCGACAGGCTCGACAGGGTCTACCTGGGACACACCTGAGGGAGCAGGACCCTGAGGGGGGAGGGGGTCTTCCGAAGGAGGACCTGGTGCAAGGAAGAGCGACGGGGGGGGGGAGAGGGGCAGTGCGGTAGGGGAAGAGACGGTAAAAGGGAGCCGACTTGTCAAACGTGACGTCCTGAGAGGGCAGGACACGGCGCGAGGTGGGGTGGTAAAACTGCCAGCCTGGAGCGTCAGGGGGAAAGCCAAGGAAGACGCAGGGAATGGCGCGGGAGGAGAGCTTGTCTACGGAGGTATCGGGGATAAAGGCACGAGATCCCCAGACCCGGAACACCGACGCATCGCCAACCTCTCCCGTCCTCCTCGCTGAGTTCCAGCAGCTGGATGCTGGGAAGCCGACTGTCCTCCGTGTGGACAACAAGTCGGCCATCACGGTCGCCGAGGGGCATGGGGTTGACGGGCAACCTCAAGCACATGGAGCGGCGACATGCTTGGCTGCAGCACATTGTGAAACGCGGGAAGTTTTTGCTGAAGTACATCCCGACCACTGAGCAGCCGGCCGACTTCGTGACGAAGGCGCTGCACTACCCGGCCTTCAATCGGTGTTCCGTCGCAATTGGCCAGGTGCGCTTGGTCGACGTGGGCGACGACGACAACAATGTGAAGCAGTAGGTGCCATGCCCTCTTGCATGGCTGGTGCGGTGACCGGCGTGCTGTGTGTTGGGTGCACGCCGACGGGCTATTCTCGGAGCTGTACTGCCGTGTGGGCCGGTGGCCCAAGCGTGAACGCGGCAGGGGAGTGTCAACGGGAGTTGTTGTTGGCCCCATCCTCGCTTGGGCGGAGCCAACCTCGTGGTCGGGTGTATGGGTGAGTGCAGCCGTCCTGAAGCAGTGGCCGAGCTTGTTGACGTGGAGGTCGACCTGTACGAGGGCCACTGCGACGGGCGCCGACTTCGGGGCGCCGACTTTGGGGTGGTTGACTTGATGGTTGACCGGACCTGGTGGTCGACGAGGGAGGGCCCGACGTCGACCTCGACAGGGGAGCTGGGGACGCCGAGGTGGAGGGCGTCGTGGAGTATGACGCCGAGCAGCTGGGCGTTGAACGGCAGGGCGCCGGGGTAGAGGGCGCCGAACATTGGGGACGCCGGCCTTGTGCAACTGGCGACCGACCGAGCTGGTCGACCAGGAGTGGTTGCCCGGTCGACCAGGATGCACGGGCGACGAACTGCTGCGGGAGCGTGCGAAGGTCGCCGGGGTGACTTCTGCGAGGCCAACCTCGGGGG